GCGGGCTACAGAAGAAGAAAGCATTGGAATGCAGATTTTATTTGTTTATTTGCAGAGACATGAACCAGCTTACACTCATTGAATTTCTTACTTATTCATGTCAGGTCTAAAGTCAATCTCTGCTAACAAAGTAACCAACTTTAAAAGCTGCATAAAGTCCACTAGTGTGACTCACAAAGGTAAGGGAGAAGAAAGGAGTTAAGAAAAAGAGAGAGGAGAAAAGAGAAAGAGTGGGAGGGCGAAACAAAAAAATGGATGCAAAAATATTAGTGAGAGATTGGAGGTGGAGAGAAAAGCAGTAGAGAGAGACAGAGTGAACCGCGGGGTGTGTTGCAACTAAAGATCGGCCTCTCTTCCCTGGATGGGGACCTCCAAACTGATCCCAGAAACAGGCCGATCCTTAACTCTGACCACACCCTCAGCCCCGATTCTGACTCCAAACACCTGCTCACAACCAGAGCCTGGTCCTCACTGGGCACAGCCTCAACCCTAAACCCCGGCTCATCTTTGCGCTGCACACGTGAACATTCAAGATCCTGAAGTCATCAACCCCCAAGCCACCATCTTCCCCAAGAGATGGTGCTTCTCAGGGTGACAGAGAGTGGGGCAGCCTGTGCCCTGACAGCCTTCAATGTCCCCCTCTCCACTAGCTCTGTCCCTTCATCCTACACATCCTCTGAGGCCACTTATGGAAAAAAAATTCCTTCCTTGGGCTTCCTTTCCTTCCACTGCCTCTTCCCTTCTCAGTCAAGCATCTTCGACCGTCTGGATACATTTCTTTGCTTCCACTGACTCACCTCGCACTCACTCCACGTCCACTTTCCACCTTCCCCTTTCTCTGAAATGGCTTTCGCCAGGGTCACCAACATCCACCTTTATTGCTAAACCTTCCAGGCACTCCTGAGGTTTGTTTTGCGGCATTTGACACCATTCGTCACTTCTCCTGAATAACCACTGAGAAGGTAAATACAATTTTTGAAAAATTATTTTTCCACGGCGCAAAAGAGCTTTTTCAGAGCATTTTCTTTAGAAAAAGTGTAGTTGAAAATTCTTTCTCTGTCT